TAGGGCATAACACTTACAATCACAACAAAATCACAAAATAAATTCCATCATTGACTATCCACTTATAGAGTATCAATTTCTTTATTTTCACTGAATTGTAGGGTTCTTTCGTTCAAATGGACAGTTGATTTTTCTCTCATTTGGTTTAACAAACAACCAGTCTTAGGTGAGTGCTTGGATTTAAAGAGATTGAAATACACTTTGAGATTTTATTAAGCCCATGTTTGATGGTCATTATTTTGAAAAAAAAAATGATGTTTTGAATAGTAATTTTTTGAAGAATGTATGGTTAAAAAATAGGAAAAAATTTGGATTTACGTGCAAAATATTTATTGTGTAAATATGTAGTTAAAAATGAATATGAGAATTATAAATTTTGTTTTAAAGGGAGACAAATTGGACTAATTTTGACCACTTTATCCTTTTTAACGTCTAAGGTAACAAATATAGACTACAAGGGGGGTTTTCACAAGGTTTGGATGATTTAAGTAGGTCGCCCAAAATGCAAGGTTATGGGATATTCCACAAAATAGGCAAACGTTAGGGAATTATTGCATGGATGTGTGTGTGTGGAATAATATATCCCACAGCTTATTGTAATATGTCACGTCACCCGAATGCTTAGTATAATTTAAGCACCGATACTTAGGAAATCAGTCCTAATATATATAATTGATATCTTAAACATCGGTGCTTAGGAGACAAGTCCTGATATATGGAATTAATATCCTAAACACTGATGCTTAGCTTATGCTAAGTGGCGCACTACCATAAGTAGTGTAATCAATTTTGTAATAGGTCATTATCTCCCACTATCTATTGTAGTGTGTCTGTCACACGAGTGCTTAGCATAAGCTAATAATATCATTAGCTGAATCATCTTATGATTTTTATATAATTTTTGAGTGGTAATAAGTCCATTAGTTATCAGCTAAATGATGTCAACTAGCATAATCCTGGTTTAATTGCTCTTAAAAGTGAAGTTAAATGACGGCAATTGCTACTAATTAAAGTAAAATGACCTAAATGCATTTTGGGGTCAAAGTTCGATAATTCGCTGTACAAATTAACTATTTTCAGAAACATTATTATGAAATTAAATATTTTATGTAATTTAAAATCATAGGCATTTCATAAATTATTTAGATTGTATAGAATATAACTTCAAAATCAGTTAGGGATTGGTGGCTGCTTCTTTTTTCGCATGTATCTACACACTTGTCTAGCATACATTGTACTAATAAGTAAAAGTCTATAGTTTTTCACGGAAATCGTTGGAGCATTCTTAAAAGTCTAGAGGTTTAACCATTCATCTCTAACTTTCTATTTAAACGGTTTATAAAGCATTTCTAATTATTTGACTTCAAATCTAGAGTTTCTTGCAATGTCTTATTGTGAGAAACTAAATTTTATTGAAGGTAAACCCTAGAATTAATTAATATCGCTTTTAGTTGGTTTTAGAAATAGAGTTGAACCTAAGGAAAAAGCTTTTGTTACATTATTTAAAGATTCTTTTACATATTTATCATGAGGTGACGATAAATTGAATTAAAATTGTTAAAATATCTTCACTATTTAAATGATTGTGCTTATGTAACGTGGAATAATGGCAAAAAGAAATCAGGAAAAAAACATTATTTAGTTTGTGAGATTTTGACTCGATAAACAAATCTATAAGTTGTGATGTACACATATCACAACCATGAACCTAATTATT